GAAATAGCCAATCTGGGCAAATCTAGCAACTTGTCTAGCTCCTCGCTGCAGCATCCGATGACGATGACACGCATATGCTCGCGAAGCTGCTGATGAGACCTTCAATTTGCACCGCTTCTTGGAATAGCCCGTCCCCTACTTGCCAAGAAATGGCAAGAGGCGTCTGGACCCGAAATTTCAATTTTTTTGGCTCTCGCTCTCAATCAGATACTTCGCTCTCAATCAGGCGAATATGTTGTTAAATATAAAAACACTACACCCCCCCCATCTCCGCACCACCACTAATATTTTCAAAGGAATCTCCTCCTCGCCGCTGATCTGCAACTAACAGCCCACCGTTCATCCCGCGAGTAGCCCCTCACCCCTTCGTGAGTGCTCATTATATCTTGCAGCTGTCGCGTTTTGGGGGCTCTGTTCTTACACCACAAAGAAATGCGGGTTCGTTCTTGTTTCATAACACCACGTCGGGCCTGAGCACGCACGTGTGTTGTAATTATTTATTTGTCAATTTCTTTGATTTTGACTTTTTTTTCAAGACCTCAGTTCTTAATTACCAAGTTCCTAAGTGCGAGAGCCATCTTTATCTTCTGATGATCATGATGCAGTGCCGGAAGCAACATAGACATGAGCCTACTACCTGCGGGAATAATAGCGAGATCCGCTTGTGATTCTGTGATTCTGGTGGATCACGGGACTGGTAATTGTGCGGCGAATTTTGGAGCCCTCACTTTTTTGTCATTGTGCTCAAATGAGATGCAGATTTTGTTGTATGTTTCGCGTAGCGTCATAAAAGTTGCTGACACTGCTGTGGTTGATCCATAGGTTGGGCAAGCCATTTTTATTTATTGTTGTGGCGTGTGCGAGAAACATCCAAAAGGACGGGTGGTGGGTGTACGGGGAAATTGCGTGGAGAGTGTCTCACATGCTTTTGGTTTACCCGGTCCTTGTTTCTGCCGTCAATTCTTGCACCAAGCGAAGTACCGTTCCGTCCAAACAATTAAAATTACAATAAACTCCTCGCGTGCACACGATGCGTGTAAAAACATTAATAATAAAAAAAAAATCTGGGCTCAATCGGAGCATCTGGTGGCCCGGAACCTCCACTTTTTTTGTAGTTTGCGCCGCACACGGGCCGAAACCTCTTAAGCTGTCTGTTGCGTTATTCGACTCACAAGCAAAAAACACGCGCGCCCGGAGCAGTGGAGACAGCAGACGCCAACAGGAGTACCAGACAGCTTCCCTAGCAGCCTTTGGGCAGAAGTGAGGTGCGTTTCCTTGTATTTCGTTGCGTATGCGAGTGTAAACGTGTGTGTGTTTGTGTCCTGCACCCACCGCAGGTCACCTGGCGCACGTAAGGCGAGAGATGGCGACCACGCGAGCCCCGCGTGCCGTCCCAGCGCGTACAAACGATGACTTTCCCTCTCTATGGCACGTATCAAGCCCCCCGCGCGCTTATACTTTCTTTTTGGGTCGCCTTCGCGACCGTGCTACATCCCTGACGTGTTTTCCCGCCCCAGACACCCTCATGGGTCAAAAAAATATATATTTTTGTGGTTTTGTCATTTTTTCGTTTTTCCACCCCCATAATCGAAAAATTGTGGTTTGGGGGGTTTGGGGTGATACATCGAAAAAACGACTTGAAAATAGACTACTACAATAAAGCGTATACGTTTTGCTCTGTACCTCGGCCCCAGAACATCCGTTGACCCTAAACAAAATGTCCATGTGTACACCTCACCCACCCCAACAACATGTTCCGAGGATTTTGTTTTCTGAGAAGATCCTGATATTATATATATGTGAAGCCGAAATTATTAGTGTTTACAGGAGTACATCTAACGTTTAGCCCTCTAAGTCGCCACCGTTTTCATTTTTGAATTCGAGACATCGCATGCGTGTGCCCGTGGCCCATGTACACAAGTAGTTTTTTTTATTGAATTCCAAGCACATCTCGATTTTTTTTCATCTTTGAAGATCCACGTTGGTGAGTCAGTACGTTATGTGGCCCCAAACCGTCTAGGATTTTTTGCTCGCCTCGAAACTTGGCACAAGTGCGCGTTTGACCCGTCCTCACCCGTCCCCGCAACAAAAACGAGCAAATTCGAAGTGCATGGCGCTGCGTGGCGCCCACTTGTAGCAAAAAGCACCCACGGGGCCCCTTTGACCACTTGTTCCCGCCCTCATGCGATTTGACCATAAAATGTGCCCCGTGTGTGCTCCCCTCCCCCCTTGTCCACCGCAGCACTTTTTATTTTAGCAAATTTGACGCAGGTGCCTACGAGAAACGCGAGAGAGATGCCCACTGGACTGTAGTATAGTCAGCCAATCAGAATTCGTATATCGTATCGTACACATTTTTGTATGATTCGCAGCCAATCAGGAATCGTCCTGAATCGTACAGAGTCGTGTTATAGTATTTCCAAGTGTTTCAGCACGGTTGGGGACGATTCAAGTTTCTGGGATACTTTCAGCCGGCCTTATACAGTAGGTACTCACGAGAGCTTTTGTTTAGCTATGTTCCGCGTTCACCCGCAAATTTCGTAGATTTCTCACCCCATGGGGATTCGAACTCACGACCTCTCTCTGCGGCTAGTGGATTACGAGGATACCACTAGACTACCGGGGCGACCGGAGTCTCCACTGTAATATATTGTTCTTTCAAGGAGTTGGCTGTACACTGACTACAGGTTTCGGAGGCCTATTATCCGGTAATTTTGATGGGAAATGAAGCGAAATTGCTCCGGCGGCGCCTCCAGTGGGGCCCCTCACCAGCCGGGGGGGGCGCCTGGGCTCGCACAGCGAGCTTCCGCGCCTTCGCGCGTCAGCTCACTGTCCTCGCCGGCTCGCTGCACTCGCCACTAATGGCTCGCTTCGCTCGCCGATATCGATATCGATATCGAACACTTCACGGGCGATCTCGTATCGAATCTATTTATTGGATCGATATCCAACTCTAGGATGTTTATGCATCAGCCAACACCCCGCCAGTAGGTTCCGCAAAAGATGATATGTTGATACAGCAGCTACAGCAGTAGTAGTAGTAGTGGTACATAGTTGGGCAGCATGTTGCACAGCTGTTGCTCTACAAAATAGTTCTGAGTACGAGTTACGCAAATAAATGCCGCCGAGCTTTGCACACGCTATGCATGCGACAGAACGTGTACTTCGGCCCGGTTTGCTTGTTCGTGTTCGGTGTCACATCTGGATAAGGATCCGATACGATACAGCTACAGCAGTAGTAGCGCATTGCAGATTCGTTTCTTATGCGGTCTTCACGAAGAATGCGTACGAAAGTTTAAATGTTTTCGTCTTCGCTTTTTTTTCGCACCCCGGTGCCGTACGTCCGACCCCGGGGGTGTTCCGCGGTAAAGACGAAAAGTTTCCACGAGTTTTTCATTGAGCAGCAAGAAATGGTTCTCAACCTCTTAAAAATTGTACCAACGTCCGTTAGGTCACGAGGATCACGAAAATATACTTATTTTCCCATTTGGATGTCGTGGTGATGACTTATTGATGAATGACTGGCTAAAATTGGGTGAAAATCGCGTCTGCGGGCCCCCCGAGCAAGATGCAAACGCCTCCGAGTCGTATCAAATTTTCAGGTTTGGGTAATGTGTTGTACATCAAGAATCCGTCGTCAGAATTTCGATCAGGATCGATGCGGCCGTGATACAGCTACGCACTGGTATATATGCGCAAAAGCAGGGATAACAACCTGGAATTACTAGGAATTGCACTGAAATATGCCCCCTCCCGCAACACTTTCCACATGTTGATTCAATCTCTCCTGACTTCGAATTAGGGTAATTTTGGGGTGGGGATCACAAATATATTGTTGGCATGTCCCAGTTTTGATTTGCAGTGGACTTTCAGCTGCTCAAAAGCTGACAGTAGCTGAGCAATTTCGAAATTACCGGGATTTTGGATTCTCGGTTCCCACGTCGAGTTTTTGTCTGATCAACTTTCTGAGTGGCTCTACCCCCCCTAAATCGGCCAAGCGGAATCGATTGCCGAGGAGAAATGGAGGCGCCGAAATCGGCAACGCGGTGAAAAAAACAATCAAGGCGATCCGATCACTTTATTTTTATTTCTCTTTTTTTTACGCTTTTAAACATGTATCCAAGAACGGTTTTTCATTTGAGTTTTTCCTCGCCGCGGGAGAGACAATTCGTCTTTACCGCGGAACACCCCCCCGGTGCGGAAGTACGATTATTCATCTAGCTTTTTCAAGACCCCCCGGCGCCATCTCTCCGGTCTGTGTGATGCCCACGGACAATACAATACACACAGCGGCCTTACTGGTGCTACACAGCGGTTGTGCTGAATACGCACACCCCGGTGCCGTCTCTCGCACTTTTTCGGTACTCCATACCACCACAACAGGCTATCGACACCAGTGTGCAAGCAGGTGTACGTATCGTACGGTGGTACAGGAAACACGCACAGCAGGTACAGATACAGCCCCTTTTGTGGGGGCGCATCAACTAGGTACCGTGTTGTTGCCGGCTGGAAGGCATACGGCGAAGTGGGGAGTCTGGTACGCAGCAGCTTACGGTTGCTTTCCGTACCGTGCAGCCAGTAGTCTAGTGGTCACGGAGTGGAATGCGAGTTGGCTTTGCCGTAACCTCTGTCGCGGTGAGTTGTTTTGTGTTGTGTGCTTTTGGCTGTGAGCGTGCAGTTCCATACCGATGAAATGAAAGCAACCGACAGTTTCCCGCGTGAACGACAGCCGCACTTAGAGGCGTGTTGCCCCAACGATGCACGTAGCAGGTGCCGAGGTGTCTTCGTACAGCTCAAAAACTGGGCCCACTTGCCAAGCACTCAAACTTGGATTTGGGGTCGGAGAAATAGCAACCGATGAGATGCACCAGGTGCGATCTCTCCGACCCCGGTGCGCTTATACAGTTAAATCATGTCGTCCTTGCTATTTTTTGCGTACCCCGGAAGGTAGACGATGACGACGACGACTTCGAATGCGAATGCGGCCCCGAGTCCAAAGACCGGGTTCATCTAGTTGCAGGATACGAAAAGGAGAGAGAAAACGTATGACTGAGCTGGGGCAAGAGAAGTGGGCTGAAAAGGCGGGAAGTGATATTGGTAAGATATATAGGAAGGAATCTCACCCTCAGCGATCCTCGGCGTGAACGATCTTCGACACCAACGATCGTCGGTGCCAACGATCCTCACCCTCAACGATGCTCAACGATGCTCAACGATGCTCAACGGTCTTCGAAGCCAACGATCCTCTNTCAACTATGCTCAACGATCCTCGACGCCAGCAATCCTCCACGTAAATGATCCTCGGGGTCAACGATGGTCAACAATGATCAACGGTTATCAACAACGCCTAACGATCGTTGACGCCAACGCTCCTCACCCTCAACGAAGCTCAACGATGCTCGATGATTCTCGACGATTCTCGGAGTCACCGTTCATCACTCTCAATGATGCTCAGCAATGCTCAACGATTCTCGATGCCAACCATCCTCACCCTCAACGATCCTTGATGCCGAGGACCCTCACCCTCAACGACGCTCAACGATTCTCGGCGTAATCGATCCTCGGCGTCAACGATGATCACCCTCACCGATGGGCAACAATGCTCGATGATTCTCGCTGCCAACGATCCTCAATGCCGACGATCCTCGCTCTCAACGATCCTCAACTTTGCCAATGCTCAACGATGCTTGACGGTACGCGACTCCCATGATCGTCGACGCCAACGATCGATCCTTACCCTCAACGATGCTCAACGATCCTCGACGCCAACAATGCTCGGAGTCAAAGATCCTCACCCTCAATAATGCTCACCCTGAACGATACCCAACGATGCTCAACGATGCTCAGCGATCCTCGACGCCAACGATCCTTGACGCCAACGATCCTAACCCTCAACGATCCTCGGCAACAACGACCCTCACCCCCTACGGCACCCAACGATGGGCAATGATCCTCGACACCAACGATCCTTACCCTCAACAATGCTCAACGATGCTCAACAATCCTGGGCATCAACGATCCTCACCCTAAACGACGGTCATAATGCTCAACGATTCTCGACGCAGGCAATCCTTGACGCCGACGATCCTCGCCCTCAGCGATGCTCAATCATTCTCGACGATGCTCAACGATCGCCGACACCAACGATCGCCGCCGTCAACGATCCTCACGCTAAACAATGATGCTCTCAAAGATGCTCAGTGACTCTCGACTCCAACAACCCTCGACGCCAACGACCCTCGGCACCAACGATACTCACGCTCAATCATCCTGACCCGCACGTTCGACGTTATCGAACTTCACTCCCGACGATCCTCAAATCTAACGATCATCGGCAACAACGATCTTTACCCTCGACGTGCTCAATGATGCGGAACGAATCTCGACGCCAACGATCCTCGGCATCAACGATCGTCACCCTCAACGATGCTCACTCGAAGCTCAACAATGCTCAACAAAGCATGACGATCCTCACCCTCAACGGTCCTCGACGCCAACGATCCTCAACGCTTACGAGCATCACCCTCAACGATGCTCGACGATATCCAATGATGCTCGACAATCGTCGACGCCAACGATCCTTGGCATCAACGATCCTCACCCTCAACGATTCTCACCCTCAACAACCCTCACCCTCAAAGATCCTCACCGTCAAAGATGCTCAACGATTGCCGACACCAACAACAATCGGCGTCAGCGATCGATCATCGCCACAGCGATGCTCAACGATGCTCAACGATGCTCAACGATCCTCGACGCCAACGATCCTTACCCTCAAGGGTACTCAGCGATGCCGATGGATGCTCAACGATGCTCAACGATGCCGAAAGGTTCTCAACGATCTTCGACCTCAACGATGCTCGGCGCCAACTATCATCGCCCTCAACGATCCTCAACTTCATTATGCACAACGATGCTCAACGATGCTCACTGAATATCACCCTCAACGATCCTTCGCGCCAACGACCGTGGGGTTCAACGACCCTTACCCTCAACGATGCTCAACTTCAACGATGCGCAACGATCCTCACCGTCAACGATCCTCACCTTCAAGGGTGCTCACTGATTCTCGATGCCAACGATCCCCGACGCAAACGATCCTCGACACCAATGGTCGTCGGCGTCAAAGATCCTCACCTCGACGGTTTTCAACGATGTCAACGATGCTCAACGATTCTCGACGCCAAAACGATACTCGGCGCCGACGATCGTTGCCCTCAACGATGCTCAATTTCACTATGCTCAACAATGCTCAACAATCATAAATACAGGCAAAGCACTTCAACTACGTGTACTACATCTACTCATGCGATCGCCCCCCCTGAAAGTGTTCAATTTTCCCCCATAGACCACATCCCGGACGGGAATCTTGTAAATGTTAGGATCTGGATGTTTTGATGCCCCTGCCACTCTTTGTCTGGCGACAGCAAATACTTTCCCGGGTTTCCTTCTCACGGGCACCAAGAGGCTCGCCTGTGCATTTACGGCGCATGCGGAGCTTTCCAGGCATCATCCGCGGCACGTGTGCTCCACGCCTAAGTTGCTGAGACTGGTTCTATTGCCCGG